ACTCAGTGGCTTTGGGTTTGGTGTGACATGTGTTTTGCTCAAATAAAAGCTGCTTGAAGTATGTTGGGAGCCCTGGTGACCTAGTGCTTCTGCATGGGGCTCCTAGCCACAAGGTCAGCAGTTCTAAACCACCAGCTTCTCTGAGGGAGGAAACCAGTTGCTTATTAGAAAATTTTGCCATTCTATATGTTATGATAACCAAAGTTTAACTGTTGTTATCAAAGTAGGCAATACATTGGAAAATTATTGGCAATTTATAGAAAGAACACTATAAAGAACATCTTGCTTCATGTTGAACTTAATGGAAAGGGACGGCCCTTGGTGGCTTAGTGGTTTTGGATTTGGCTACAGTGCAAAGTCAGTGGTTTAAAACCCACAACTGCTCTGCAGGAGAGCGATGGGGCTTTCTACTTCTGTAAAGAGATGCAGACTGGGAAACCCACCAGGGCCAGGGGCATGGTGAGCTGGCATTGACATGAGAGCAATGAATGTTGTTGTTGTTCCCTGACGGTATAGTTTTGTGTAAAGCCAATGCATGTGGGTGTTTGTGATAGTTGTGATCATATGCTAACTAGTATGGGTAAGTATGCCATCTGGTGTTTCTTCCACATTCTAGGTTATTATTTTTACTTTATTTCATTATACATCTTGATTTTCAGAACATATTTTTACTTTATTTCATTCTCTATACATCTTGATTTTCAGATTCGTACTGTCCTTTGTAACTCACCAGTTCTGCATATCTGTGTGGCATAGTCTTTTTGTTTTAAGAGTGGGGTTCAGAGACTTAATACAACCGATATAACATGATGCTTCTTCAAGAAACGTGAATAGCATTTGAATTACTGTACTTTGTTATACAATGTCCTTATCTTCCTTTATTCACAACCAGCTGTCTCCCATAGTTGTTTCCCAACTATTTCCACCAAATTCTAGTTCTAGTTTTTTTCAGTCATACTAATATTGACCTTACTTTCTTATTGGGAGGATTTATAAGTATGTGAGGCAAATAGTGTAGTTTATATGTGTGTATAGGACTAATGTGAATTACTTTGAAAAAAAGTGGAAAATTATGGTTGCATGTGTATAGCAATATAATGTGGTTCACTGACCTGGCCCAGGAACTACTATTGTGGTCAAATCTTGACTCTACTACTGACTCCCTATAAGACCTTGAGAGATTAATTACCCTCCCTATATCTCAATTTTACTTTCTGAAATGGGAATAATTCAGTGTCTACTTCAAAGGGTAGAGACTAGGTGAGACACTGATGCTATCTGTGTATGAGGGGACTTCAGAAACTTCATAAGAGGAATAAATTATCTTTTCATACCATTTTCCATGAACTTTTTAAAGCTCTCTTGTATTTAGCCCCACTGCCCCACAGGGCATGCAGTGATGCTGTTAAATTGTTACAACTGGTATGTGTCAGTCCTTTACATTTTTCCATGTATCTTCCATCCCAAATTTCACTAAAGCTGTGTGTGTGCTTAGGAAGTTAACTCTTGGACTACATGGGCTTTTTACTCTTATTTCTTTTGAAAGTTAGCACACTGGTTCGTAGTGTCCTTTGTAACTCACCAGCTCTGCATATCTGTGCGCCATAGTTTTTATCCTGTTACAACCAAGAGAGGTGTGTTTTGTGGCCTCATACACGGTTGGCTGTAATAAAGGTATGTTGTTTTCCAGTGGGTTTATGTTTAAAATGGGTACTAATATGGGGGTTGCCTGGCAACTAAAATGGTTGTCTGGCTGAATATTATACATGCAAATAAACCGGAATAATTCTTTTCCTCTTGGGGCTTTTCTTCACAGGGAACTCTGAAAGGTTTTGACCAGACCATTAATTTGATTTTGGATGAAAGCCACGAACGAGTATTCAGCTCTTCACAGGGAGTAGAACAAGTGGTTCTAGGATTGTACATTGTTAGAGGTGACAATGTGTAAGTAAACACCGTTTTAAGGCACACTAAAATTAGACTCTAGGTACACCATCGTGGTTTATCATCCATGCAAAGTTAGGATAGTGTATTCATTTGCATTGTAGATGTGAATTTTCTAAAATTGTTTTTAAAGTAAGGCAAATATATTTTTGGTGTTAGGACTTTAAGAACTTAACAAAGTTTTCTCTCTATAAAGTAAACTTCATCTATTTCCATATTTCTGTAAGTTAAGTGTCCTGGATAGAATCCAGAGTGGTCCTGCTCCGTACCAAATACTCCAGTAGAGACACTTCTTAACACTGTTCTTGCCAAATACCTATATATAAATAAACCTCTAGGCTCCAAGGACAGGATTTGAAAGGGTCTTTGCAGTTCCTTTGAGAAATTATAATTCGTGTTCCATAGTGTAAATGAATCCACATCCATTACTTACATATTTTCAAAGATATGTGTTGTTATGTGTCATGTTAATCCCGTGGCCACAATTAAATTGTGTTACCCTGATACTTATGTCAGCCTGAGGAGGGTTATTTTAGTGGTAGCAAAACACATGCAACTGCGCAGCGCTGTGTTTGTGCTTTCCAGTGGAACTTCCTGGGGGGGCTCTCTATCTTCATGGTCCGATACAGCAATGACTTGCCATGGCTAGCCATGTGTTATTGTTAAGAACTTGAAAAGTGTCTACGAGGAACTCTTTTCAATTTTATTTATTTGCATCTAATTTTAATAGTCACAGATTGCCCGAAGCTACTATATTAGGCAGTGCATGTATAGAGCCTAGCAAAATAAACATGGAAGAGCTGTCGTAGCAGTCATTGCATTTGGAGGAATAAGTGAGATGTAGAAAGTGAAGGGGAATACTTTAGTCATGTAAGTTTCTTATCTGAAAATCCCCCCTAGATTTAGAATGAATGAACTATTTGATCATAACTAAAAATTAGTGAGTGGTTTCAAGCCATTCCACAGAGATGACTTTTAGGTCGTTATGAGGCGGGCTATAAGAAGTGAAAAATCAACATAACTAGTTGATCATATCTCATAAACACCAAACTGGTTGTCATCTTATTGGGAGCTTGAAATTATCCAAGGTGGGAGTAGAAGATTTGTACGGTGGAAGTCAGGAAATGTGGAAGTCAGGCATTAGCGGCCTCCTTTTCCTCTGGAGAGCCAGTTTTAAACCTTTACCACTCTAGAGTTGTTGCCTAAAGGATTTTCAGTGGCACTAAATTGTTAAGAGTAGAACTAAGGTCTTTAACTTGTTTTACATTTGCGGGGACAATCTGTCAGTTTGGCACTTCTCAGCTATTAACGAGCTGAAGGCTTACTATAGTGTAAAACACAGTGGGACAATTTCTGTCCTCCATGTATTTCTCTATAGCCACACTCTAGAGTCACTGCCCACAGGTTTATTCCCTTCACCGCCACTCAGTGGAGTCCGACTCGCGGCAAACGACCCTATCTCACAGTGGAACTGCCACTGTGGGTCTTTACAGGCACACAGCCTCATTTCTCTCCTGTGGAGCAGCTGGTGGGTACCACCTGCTGACCTTGTGTCCTATAGTGACTCTTAATAAAATCAAATAATTTAAATATAACACCCAGCAACCAGTATTTTTGTGGTAACGAGGTTTCATAGATCTCCTGCATTCTGGTTGATAACATTGACTGTCTTCAGCTAGAGGCACAGGGATGGTTACCTAGCATGGCATTAATGCTATGGATGTTATAACTGTGCTAGTATTGAATCCGAGAAAATGTGCCTGGTCTGATCTAACTAGCCAATCACATCAAAAATGATGTGTTAGATACCGGTGGGCCTGTTGATATTTTCTTTGAATATGAAGGATTGTACTTTTTAAACTTCAATTGTGGAAACCTAGAAATGATTAAAAGGTAACTAACAGATACTAAAGGATAATAGATATTAAACCTTGGTGGTACATAGTTGGAAGTTCAAACCCACCAAATGCTCTTTGGGAGAAAGATGAGGCTGTCAACTATTTGCTTCTTATTTTGTGCCCTCCTTGCCTTCCCCCAGCACACTCCCAGAACCAAATTGAAATAATCGGTTTGGAAGTTTGGGGGTTTTAGCTATCTATATAGCATATGTGCCTTTTTTCTGTAAGTGACTCATGACCCATTGACACAGCTGCCAATTCATATGGGTTCCTGAAGTACTGTTACCTTTGAATTGAGTTTTGTGATTAAATGTGCAACTAAATTGCCTCAGGGTCGGAGTCAGCTGAGGGACAGAGTTTTGACCTTAGGTGATTCTTGCAATTTAATTGGATGTTTTGGAAGAATGATACTGTTTCCATTTGATGGATAAGCTTTTTGAAACCTATGAATTTATGTAAGGTGAGACAGTTTTAACTCATGCCTTTTTTCCTTCCTCCATAAATAATTGCAGTGCAGTCATTGGAGAGATTGATGAAGAGACAGATTCTGCACTGGATTTGGGGAATATCAGAGCAGAACCTCTAAACTCCGTCGTGCATTAAGGAAAATGATGCCTGGCCGTCTGTAAATCTTTGTACAGAAGCTGATTGTTCTGAAGTAGATGTGCAGGATTTTAATGAATGTGTACTTGTGAATTTTGACTCATTGGTTCATTGTAATATGATAATGTAAATTAAAATATTTCTACATTTTGCTGAAAAAATTTGTGCATGGGTGTGTGGTTTAAATTGTAAATTTGATAGCCTGATTTTTTTTTATTCAGTATTGTGAGAATATAATTTCTTTGGGAAATTTTAGAATAAATCTGTACTACCTGATTTTTAAAAATATTTATGGAAAACTTGTTATAAAGAGAAATGGCTATGGTGTAAAGCAAGCATACAACTAACATCAGTAGTGCACCTGGTTTTCACTAAGACCGTGAGAAGGTCAGGCAGCATGCTTTGGCAACCGTCTGAACCACCAGCGTGATTGTGTCGCTCTGCTGGTTGTTTGCCAGTGCTTTTTACGGTTGTCTCCTGGCACGTGGGTCTGAGTCAAAATGTGTTTCACTGAGAAAAGGAACAATACCAGCGAAGGAAGGTGTAACGGATGAGGGTCAAAATGGGGACCTGAATGTGCACGATGAATAAGAAAGGTAGGTTTGATGTTGAAAGATACTGTAAACATTTTGGGATGCCTAATAATTTTAGAGAGTAATAGTATCAACATTAAGATGATTTTATGAGGAGTTTATTACCTAAAAACAATAAATGCTTTTCCAGCTTTTAATTAATAAGGATTGGGGAATTTCTAATTCTAGACCAGTGTTTGTAAATGTGAATAAGTATGTTAAATCAGTGCATTCTCTTATTACCATCAATTTTCTGTGACTCATTAGTTCATAAACGATTTGAAAAGAAATAGTTTGGTTTCACAGGAAGTCTACTCATTGATTCTGAGTGAATCAATTAAGTCGATCATCCTTAAAAATACTTTTTCCAAAACTCCTCTGAGGGTCAGTTGATAACACTAAAAAATCCACGGCAGCGTACAGGTTAGAGACATTCTCTTCAACTGGTAGGCAAAACTATATATCTTTGTCAGAAGAAAGTGAAACAATATATCCATGTAAGTAAAAATTTTAATAGAAGTTCAGACCAGAGTTGGCAAGCTCTTTTGGTCAAAGCAGCTTTAGGCTTTGAGGGCCATATAATCTCTGTCACAACCACTGGGTCTTGCTGTGGTACCACAAAATAAACTCAAAGCAAACCAAAGCTACCTCGAGTCCACCCTGCTGTGCTTCAGGGTGAGTCCACCCTGCTGTGCTTCAAGGTAGAACTTCCTGGCTGTGACCTTGTAGATGTGGATATGGCCAATTACATCAGTTTTTAAAAGGGCTCTGTGTCTTAGTAGCTGGATTTCATTGTCTTTATACTTAAAGAATTTAGGATAGATTTTAATTTTTTTGGAGGGGAGTGCTTTCACCAGTTTCCCAAAGGAAAATAACCTCACTCTTTCTTAGAAAACAAGTCAGTACAAAAAGAGATAACTGAATGTGTTTCATTTGTTACCAAGTGCCAACAACCACACTAATGCTGAGATCCAGAGATGACTTGGTTAGGGGGAGGTGAGCTAGTATTGGCATAAATGTTACTCATCTTAATCCCAGAACAGGTGATTAAGAAATGAACTTAAATGTGCTTAAAATGATTTTGTCCTCTTAAACTAATAAGGTGAGGTAATAAAAGTAATTTCTAAGTGCTCTTTGATACAAATAGGGACTAAGCATGGCAAAGAATTGCTGAATTTGAACTGTGGTGTTGGTGAAGAATATTGAACATACCATGGATTGCCAGGACGAATCTGTCTTGGAGAAAGTAAGCCAGAATAGCTGTACTTTCTTACAAGGTAGTATGCCAAGATCTTGGGCATGTGATCAGAAGAGACCAGAGCCTGGAAAAGATCGTGCGTGGTAAAGTGGAGGGTCAGTGAAAAAGACCATCAACGATATGGGTTGACATAGTCATCGCAATAATGGACTCAAACATAAAAATTGTGAGGATGCTGAAGGCCTGGGCAGTGGTTCGTTCTGTTGTACATGGGGTTGCTATGAGAACTGACTGCTACCTAACAAAACAACCGCCCTCAATATGGTTAGTTCAGTAGATTTGGAGTCTGGGAAGAGGGATGCTAGCTCAATACCGAAGTAAGAAAAGTCTGACACTTGCCATGTGCCTTAAGGAGTTCCTAAGCAAGCCTTATTGAGGTTCTTGGATAAAGGGTTTGCTCTCAAACTAAAATCAAGTTGGGTGGTTCGAACGCTCCCAGAGGCAATCAGTTTCCAGTATGGTTACAGCCAAGAAGCCCTGTCGAGCCTTTATTTATACTCTTACAGACAGGTCCTGTGCATTGACTGAATGGCAACAGTTTTTTGTTTTATTTTAATCTTTATCACAGAGCAACTTATGTTACTGGATTGTGATCAATGAAGCTAGACTGCATTAAAATATGTGTGTGAATTCTAGGATGTAGCAGTGAAAATCTAGGTTCAGGGAAACGTTACATACATGACAGTTGTCACTTCACAGTTTCACACACCCACTGGCTTGCATAACTAACTCACTCACTGCCATCAAGTTGACGCCAACTCATAGAGACCCTGTAAAACAAGTGGAACTGCCCTGTGCTTTCTGAGACTAACTCTCTACAGGCTTGTCAAGCTCCGTCTTTCTCCCAAGGAGCAGCTGGTGGGTTTGAACTTATTGACCTTGAGGTTAGCAGCCCAATGCAAAACCACTACACCACCAGGGATCTCCATAAAAGACTAGAATCTGTAGATTGTGAGGAATTCAAATTATGTCCAAGTACATACTCAAATATTTACTGTGTTTAACAAATACAGCGTAAGACTAAATTCTCTTCCATGCCAGCCATGTTATACCCATGACACATGAACACACACAGAAACTTACTCATTGCCATCAGGTTGATTCTGACTCTTAGTAACCATACAGGACAGGGTGGAACTGCCCCTGTGGGTTGTTGAGCCTGACTCTTTACTGGAATAGAAAGCCGCCTCTTTCTCCAGAGGAGAGGAGCTGGTGGCTTTGAACTGCTGACCAAAGTAGCAGCCCAGCGCATAACCACTACACCACCGGGGCTCCTTGCACGTGAGCTTGTTAGGTGCCTTCAAGTCAGTTCCAACGTAGTAACCCTGAGTACAACAGAGCAAACATCGCCCAGCCTGTGCCTTCCTCACAGTTGTTCCTATGTTTGAGCCCATCCATCAGCCACCGTATCATTCCATCCCGTCCAAGGCCTTCCTCTTTTGGCTTCTCTGCCCCTGGACCAAGCAGGCGGTCCTTCTCCAGGCTCTGGTCTCGCCCAACAACATGTCTGAAAGGTGAGTTAGTTCTCACTCTGCTCTCGAAGGTGCATTCAGGCTGTATACTTCTTCCAAGAGAGAATTGCTGCTTCTTTTGGCAGTCCGTGGTATTTTCAATATTCTTTGCCACAACCATAATTTAAGTGCTTTGCATCTTCTTTCTTATCAATGTCCAATTTACATATGCATGTGAGGCTGGGGTCAGGGTCACCTTAGTCCTCAAAGTAACACCCTTGCTTTCCAACCCTTTAAAGAGGTCTTATGCGACAGATTTGATCCAGTGCAATGTGTCTTTTGATCTCTTGACTGCTGCTTCCATGAGCATTGACTGTGGATGCAAGATAGAGAAATCCTTGACAACTTCCATCTTTTCTCTGTTTATCACGATATCACCTACTGATCCAGTTGTGAGGATATAGGTCTTTGCATGCAGTTGTAATCCATCCTGAAGGCTATAATCCTTGATTGTCATCAGCAAGTGGTTCAAGTCCTCATTTTCAGCAAGAAAAAACATTCTGTCGTCTGCATATCACAGGTTGTTAATAAACCTTTCTCCAATGCTGCATTCTTCATAGAATCTAGCGTCTCCAAAGATTTTCTCAGTATAGCTTGTATAAATATGATGAGGGGTTACACCCCTGATGCATACCCTTTCTGAATTTAAACTATGCAGTATACCCTCATTCTGTTTGCACAACTGCCTACAGGCTCCACATGAGCACAGGACAGTGTCCTGGGCTTCCCATTTTGCACAGGTTTATCCATACTTTGTTATTGTCCACACAGTCAAACGCCTTAGCATATTCTGTTCATAAGGTAGTTTCTGTCGCTAATCCCTCAAGAGTAGACAGCCTATGCCTTCTTTGTAGTCAGTTCTTAGTCTGGCAGCTCTGCTGAAACCTGTTCACTTTGAGTGACTCCATTGGCATTTGAAATGCCGGTGACCTAACTTCCAGTATCACAGCAACATACAAGCCACCACAGTATGACAAAACTGACAGACAAGTGGTGGCACGCACCAACGAGGGCCCCTCATTTCTGGACTTGCACTCTATTGTGTTTTTCAATATCTCACATTATAAATTTATCTTATTTCTTTTAAATTTCTTTTTAGTAATTAGAGTCTGATTTTTCTACCTGGAGCTGCTGTCACCATATTTTTTATGTTATGGGCAAATTTGATGAAAATTGCCTTATTCGTTTACCTGTAAGTCTGAAAGAAGGGTTGTCAAGAGCCATGTCCATCCAGGTGCATACGCATCCATTAAGAAGCCTTCCTTCAGCCACTTGCAAATCCGTTGAGGTGCTAGAGATCTAGGCGTGTTTCCAGGGGATTATTTATGAGGTTTAGTGCTTTCATATGATCTTACTCTTCTCTGGTAGGAAACGATGATCCAGGAGACTTAGTATTTGTGAACCAATGCTGCCTCCTAGTGATCACTGTTTCCTTTCGGAATGTCCACAAACTTTAAACAAAACAAAAATCCTCTTGGTTTTTGTCAGAACTATTTGCCACTCCATTGGTACACACCAGACTGTTACATATAACAGGGAACAATATGTGCTTGTCTGTCTGAGGCATGTATCGATCCAGCACCGTCACCGAATCACCTTGACTTAGATTCATTGTCCAGGGTCATGAGGGATTTCTTTTCACTAATCTAGGATCTGGTATATGGAACTTGGAATTGTTTAATGCAACTAGAAGCTGTATATTTATTTATTTAAACTTTTATTGTGAATTAAGTGGAGTTTACATATCAGATCATCATTTTTGTATTCTACAACTAGCAATTCATCAACACTCCCATTTTCTTGCCCTGCACTGCCTCCCCCTCTTTTTTCCCCACTTCCCTTGTTGGATACTATCTTCCCCTTCACCAAGTTGACATCTGTCTACTCTCTACTCTTAGTACTTCCCCTCCTTCCTTTCCTCTCTCACTCCTGGGG